GGGGGGAGGGGGGTGAAAGAGTGACTAGGGCGTACACGGTAGAGGTGCAGACCGCTAGTGTCTTTTATGCGCAGAGTCTTATCCTCTTGCTCTTTAGGTCCATTGACCCTCTCTTGAGCCTTGAAGCAGTCAAGCATGCACACACTATATCAGCTGTTGGAGTGGAACCCTGTACAGGTAGGCTCTACTTTTCAGCAGGCACAAGATTCATGTCCACTCCTAGCTGATTGCGTATGTCGCATACTCTTTTTCTACTGCAAGGCTAAAACAGTCCAGCTAGCTCTGACAACTTAAAAGAAAACTACGGTGCCATGTACTTACCTAATCCAGTGTGTTTCACACTTCAGAGAAGGTAATCTCATAGCTACTAAATACAGTGAGGGAGCAATAGCTGACTCACCTCAAGTACAAAATCAAATCGATAATGTACCTCGGCTGGAGACTGTACTTTTCGCAGGCGGAGATACCATGTACCGGCGCTCACTAGCTCTTTAGGGCCTGAGCTAAATCAAACTAAAAGGGAAAGCGGCTTTTTCTCTACAGAGACCTATAAAAGAATCAAACGACACTCGCGTAACAAAGAACTAAAAATTCAAGACCGCACAATGCAATGAATTAAGATGCCTTGCAAAATGCAAGGAGTGTCAACTCTCGGTCCGAGGAATAGTCTTCTCGAAAAGTGGTCTCGGCCGCTTTCATTCACAGACAAAATAAACTGCATCAAAAGGACTCTTTCTTTCACATTCACATCAAAAACACAAGAAGGAGATACCGGCAAATGTATGTACAAAAAAAATCCTGCACTACAATTGCAAATCATGAAATGACTTAATCATCAACCATGACTGGTTGTCCATTAGAGGTCATCTCAGAAAAGCGACTGTGATAGATATCATCAGTTATGCAAAACTGTCCATACCTATCTACATGCTAAAGCGTACAAACCTGGAATGCAGGAGTATCTTCTTTGATAAAAAGTTTCTCCTCGATGCAAACCATAATTTATTAAAACTTCAGCCTGGCAATTTAAAGTCAAGCCTGGAAGCAAAGTATCAACTGTAACCAGAAGTATCTTCACTTCCTAGCCATCATTTAAATTTCAGCCTTCGCTCAGGAATTATGCCGCTGCAGACGATGAAGCTGCTTGATCAGAAGTTGGCGGCCTTCCTTTCTTTCTATTCTGCTTCTGTCTCTCCTTCCTCCGCACGTTCGCCTCTTGAAGCGTTGCTCCCATGCGATACTGTCTTCTGTCTCCAGATGAAAGGGAAGCTGGTCTGAGTGATATAAACATTGGACCATGACTGTCCTCGTCAGTGGGCCTTGAGCACATAACCTCTGTATCAATCATAGCAAAGTTCTCTGAAAAATTACAGATGAACTCCTTCGTGCTCACTGTGGAATTTTCATATTCCTCTTCACTCATTGAATGACCCCATTCAACAATGGTAGACAAACATGTATCGCCAAGCTGTGATCCTTGGTATTCTTCTTTCTCAACAGTAGAGTACTCTTCCCAGAGTTTGTCAAAGTAATCTTCACACTTCTTGAGGACCTGTGAAGTTGAACTGTAAAAAGTTCTGGGAATAGGTGCTTTGATACCAAGATCTGCTTTTACACGGGCTTCTGAAAACCTGCGGATCCAATGCTGCATGGTGCTGTAATAGTAGTTAGCCATTGGCTGCCTTTTGTACCCAGACATTCTGTAGGCCAAACTATTTGCATCACCAGAAATGATGTCCACCTCATAGACAAAACACTCGTAAAGCATCAATGCTGTCTGTTCTCCTGTCAGTAGGTGGGCATCCACAGCACGGTGTGTGTCAACATGATAATTACAGACTCTGATGGTATGCATGTTCGCTCGAGTAAGTGGAACACGCTTGTCCTCAGGACCATAGTCATCAAATTCAAAGTCTGCATCCTTGAAATCTTGACGAGGCCTTGTTTCTCCAAAGCAAATCTCGTAGATAGCCCAAGTTACATCACGCTGTTCACAGTGACCAAGATCTTGGTCATGTCCAGCAATGATCTTGACATATCCACCTGGTGCCAATCTAGCCATCACTGCAAGATTCTCCCAATCATTGAAACAAACTGTCCAATTCTTTTGCTCAATAAATTCCTTGGCAGGAACAAGAAGATGAGCTTCCTGGAGAATCACGACATGCGCACGTAAAAAGAAGAGCATGTTGAAGAAAAGGTTGTTCTCAAATTGCTCATTCTGAAGTGACATGGCGCTCTGTTTGCGTGGCCTCATTGCACTATCAAGTCCTTGGAGAAACCTTGCTGTGGTGTACTTCTGACCACGAACCATGTTGCCATAGTTCCAGGATAAAAATGTCAAGGACTCTGAGCTGGCCAATAAATTAGTTCCATATGGTTCTTCTATTCTTCCCTTGAGGAACCTTCTGCACAGCTCTTCATAGAAGGTGACAAAGTCCCAACTGGGTCCCTTTGGACCATATGATTCCAGTTCCTTCTTGAGTTCCTTTTTCGTATCCTCCAATTCTTCTCGAGCATGACCTGCCCTTTCAAGGGCCTTTGGATCGACCTGATACCTGCCATCCAAATAAATGATGCGGTCATCATTAATGAAGAATCTCTTCAAATCATGCTCTGGTTCATGTTCATAACAATCAGGTGGAGGTACTGGACAGATATTGCGAATGGATCGAACAAAATCATTCTCGTTGATCCTTGACTGATAATGAGGATGGGAAATCTCACCTTTTCTGAAACAAACATGATTCAGCAATCTTGCATGAGTTTCCCTGAAGCGTAGTTGATAAAAGCCAATACCTGGATCTCCTGTAAGCTCTCCAAGCAACTTCAAAGGTGAAGTATGCAATTCATAGGTATCGTCAGCTTTTGTTGTATCCTTTTCAACAACTACTTCAGATGGAAAAGATTCTTGGATTTCAGCCTCCATTTTCTTCTCTCCATCATCCTCTCTGACCTCTTTTATTTTCTCCACCGCCTCTTTCTTCTCTTCCATGGTTGCATCATCCTGAACTTCTTCATGAAAACGAGGATCAGGAATCTTATTCAGGCGGCTTCTCTTCGATTTCCGCTGACCTGAAGTATCATCAAGGTTAGCATCCATCTCACCTGATGGTAAGTGCGATGCAGTTGAGTCTTCACCTATCTCTCTTGACAGAAAGTGTGGTGTTGACTCTTCCTTGGCTTCCTCCTGGTCATCTTCCATCTTGGGTTCCTCTGAAGGAAAGACACCTGCATTCTCATCAAATATTTCTTCTTCCTTTTCAGGTTCAACTGCAGGATCTTCTTCAGGAACTTCCTCTTCCATATTCTCATCTTCTAGAAGTGTCATACTTCCAGTATAGACTTCACCAGCGATAGTGGAGACTCTTGTATAAGGAGGAACTTCTTCACCTGCTTCAAAAGCTTGTTCTGCAACATCCTTGGTGAGCAAGTCCTCTACAAGATTTTCTCCCTCGGTTCTTGGAAGAGATCCTGAGGTCTCATAAAAATCTGTCCTCTCTGAACTGAAAGCTTCTGTCGCCTTCTCATTGTCCTTTTGATCCCTGAACAGGTGAGTAATCTTCACAGCTTCTCCCTGTAGCACCTGATCACCTCCTCTATACTTGTCGACAATGGAGCGCCATACTGGAACATCATCATCATCAAAATCAAGCTCCATATCATCTGCCAACAGGTATGAGATGTTTTGAGCTGCCTTTTCTTCTTCTTCATCACGTTCCTTGGCAAGCTCCTCATCCTTCTGGATCTTGAAGATACCCTTCAGGATGTCTTGTAGTACCTTTAAGTTCAGCTTCGATGATGACTCATACGTCCCTGAACTTACAGGCTCAACTACAACACGAGAGCAAGAAATCGCCTCCAAAAACTTGGAATTGTATTGGCGTTCAAACTCTTCCTTCTTGATCATCTCATACAAGGGATCAGAAACTGCAACACGCGCCTGAACATACTCACGAAGTTGATAGCATGCATGTTGCACAAATCTACTGTTGGAGTTGTGAAGAAAACTCTCCAAATGATTCCTGTCCCGGTCAATCAAATACCACACAATCCTTGCAGAAAAACGGAATTTCTTGAAGTTCATAGCAAAATGTGTATGATACTTCTCTGGATTCCTTTCTGCTTGTAAAGCGGCCTCTGAAGTCTTGTAAACAGGAAGTTTTGTG